CTCAACTTAGACTCTTCATCTCTCAACTTAGACTCTTCATCTCTCAACTTAGACTCTTCATCTCTCAACTTAGACTCTTCATTTAGATGCGGCGTACAAAATGAGTTCTTTGTGGGCGAGAGAACTAGGTCATTGTTTAAGAAAACTTGCTGCTGTTTCACAACACCTGAGTTCTATTCCCAGCACCCATGTCAGGTGCTTGTAACTGCTGCTCTAGAGGACCTGAAGCTTCCTGTGTCTTCTGTGGGGACCCACAGATATATGTTTCCGACATGCACACACATGAAAGTCAATCTTTAGGAAAAATGAGTTTCATGTGGATTTCTTAAGCTAATATCTGTTCATATAGTTTTACTGTTTGCTCCTTTGCATGTGTGATACTTTGCTTCCATAGTTGTGTGCCATATGTGCTTTTTTTTTTAGATTTTTCTGGTTTTTTTGTGTGTGTATGTGTGTGTTTGTGGGTGGTATCTCTGTGTGCGTGCACACACAAGACCAGAGGATGACTTTCCAGATCTGGTTCTCTCCTGCCACCTTGTGGGAACTGAGGATTGAACTCATGTCAACAGGCTTGTGAGCAAGCCATTTTTGCTGAGCTGTCTTGCTGGCCATTGCTTGGGGTTGGATTCTCAAGGTTGATAGTGGAGACTATTTCTTTCCTTCTTAACTCAGGTACATTTTAAGTCACTTCCTCATGGAGGCCATGTTGACTAGCTGACCAAACTCTCCTCAGATCCACAGTGTGAAATCAATGTTGCTCTTTATAGCGATTTGTAAATTATTTACAGTCTCATCTAAATAAACTGGGGAGATATTTGATTCAGAAGCGGAGTAAAAAATATAATAACCCATCTCAATTCTCTCAATTCAATAGTTACTTTACTTTCGAGAGTTTTTGTTATTAGCCTTAAGCTTTCTTTGCTATGTAGCTGAAAAGCTTTGGAGAGACCCCTTTGGCTTTAAAACATGCCTTGGACCAGGTTCAGTTCATCACACAGCTTTCCTTTTGTTGTCTGTTCCCATGATGAAAAGCATTAGGCCAGTATCATACTTCCTAACAAGCCAAAGGGGACACAAAGCATGCTTTGTGTACATTTTAAAGAATCTGATTCTGCAGGCAGATGGTGTTCTCATGTCCTCATTCCCTAGTTCCCTGCTACCAACCTAATTCTACCTTCTTTCCTGCTCAGCGTCTGTGCCTTGTAGAGTTGTATCCAGTGACTGGTAAAAACAGTAAAAAGACTTTGAGAACCATTTTCTAAAATGCTGCCCATGCATTCAGCTCTTCATTTATCAGATGTTGATATCTACTCTGCCATATGCTGTGGATACACTGGGATTCTAGAAGAGAACAAATCAGAAAGTTATCCTTTATATTGCTGTATTAACAACAAAAGTTAGTCATTTATTAAAGATAGCATGTGACCTGAGACTATTAGGCAGGGAAACTAGATACGAAATCCAGAAGAAAAAATCCAGGAGAAAAAATGACTATCAACTTTAGGTTAGCAACTTTAGACAAGATGGTAACATTTAAGAGCCCTCACCCCCATACCTCCAAGTTGTCTTTGCTGTGACTAGTTCCTGCCATGTTGCCAGGGCTGTGTGGAATTCTGTGTTTTCCTGCTTCTGCTTTCTAAGTAGCTCAGATTTCATGCACACACATTCGAGGCTTAGAAGATGACATTTTAGGGGATAATTTAGGACATGAACTAACCAACCTAATTTTCCTTGCAACATAATATGATCACTGAGACATGTGGTGCTGGGGGTGAAATGCAAAAAAAATTTAAGAATTGCCTTCATTAGTACAGCTCAGTGGTAATTGATGATTTTCTCTCTTAGATGCATGCATCCAGAACTTTTAGAATACAATTTTTCAAAAGCTCTTTCCCTTATATGCTATTTTTAAATAATTTGTTTAATTATTAATTTGAGATTGTTTTTTGCAGTAACTTTTCCCCCCCATAGTGGAAGACAAGGGGCAGCCCAGATTGTATGTCTCTTTAAATCTCTCTGTTCTTTGTGCATGTTTGTGTATTTGCAATCAGTATGACCATTTCTTGTTTAATATATGATACAAAAGATGTGTACTTTTCCACCTAACATTTTCATTTGTTTATCTATACTGATTTTTAAATTAAGGTCTCATCAAGTTAGTGGCTTATGACCTAAGCACTGTAACTTTTAAGATTTTTTTTTTTGGTGTGTGCACGCGTGCATGTACCAAGTGTTCAGTGCTTGTAGAAGCAAGAAGAGGCATTAACTTCTTGCAGCGGAAGTTACAGGTAGTTATGAACCACCTACTGTGGGTTCTGAGAACTGAACTTAGATCCTGTGGAAGAGCACCACGTGCTCCTAACCAATGAGCCATCATTCCAACACCCACCATAGCTTTTTAAAAATGCACTTATAAGTAGGGTGTTTGTTGTCTTTAATCCCAGCACTCAAGAGTCAGAGGCAGGTGATCTCTGAGTTTGAGGCCAGGCGGGTCCACAGAGCAGTTTTAGGACAGCCAGGGTTACTTAGAGAAACCCTGTTTCAAAAGACAAAACAAAACAAAATCTACTTATAACTGGATATTTAAATTATAAGTCAGTACCTCTTCATTTTTCTCTTTGAAGTATGTAAAGAAAAGTATAGTGAGCCAGTCAGAACCTATTCTACAGATGAGCTTACAGGAGGCTGTATAAGTTGAATGGCAATTATGCAGCTAGATAATAGCAGAGGCAGGCTGCATCTTGTTGTGCAGTCACTCATTCCTGAAGTATCTATAGAAGCATCCCCACTGTTTGCCGGAATCTGTGTTATCATTTGTGGAAGAAATGAATAGGTTCCTCTATTGAGATATCTCTTTTCTTGTTTTCCCAGGCTTTGTTGATTCCCCATGGGAGGCCTTACCCTTTCTGAGGAGTGGATGGTGGTGGGCTGAGGGGAGGTGGGGAAAGGAGGATAAAGGGAGGGAGGGGAAATTGTGATTGGTATATAAAATGAATAAAAATAATAATATTAAAAAAAGAAATGAATAGGTCTTTGATCCCATGGAACTCTGAATCTGGGCTTGGACAGGGCACTGGAGTGGACAGGCAAAAGACCATTGATAGTGCTTTGTGAATCCGGAGAACTGTTGCAAATGAAGAAATAGTGTGAACAGAACTTGGCAATACCACTTTGTTGTTTTATTATTAGTATTGTTTCAAAGATTTAACTTATTGGTTTTTAAAGAGGATGTGAAGGACGAGCAAAGTAGGAAGACAATATAGTGCCATATGTTTGAAAATAGCATAATGAGCTGGGGAGGACGGCACAGCACTGGGAGGCTGAGGCAAGATTACCTCGTGTTCCAGGCCAAGCTGGGATACAGAGGGAGACTCAAGAAGAAAAGAAGAGAGTCAGTGCTGTAATGAAACTCGTTGCTCTGTATACTGTTAAATAAACAAGGAAAATGACCCATTCATCAGGAATCAGAACAGCTTGAGTTGCCAAATATGATTGCATAGCACAAGGAAGCTTGTGAGAGGCTTCTTAGAGCTGTCACCCTGCCACTTTCCAATTGCCGCTGCCACTCTGCCATTTGTATTCTAATAAAACTTTTACTTTTCAGCTGTAAAAAAAAGTTTAATTTCTTCCATGGAGCATATGTCCTAAGACTCAGAATAGACAGCAGGGTTAGGGAAATTGAAATAATATGTATAGTTTTCCAACATCATCCATAGTGATATTTCATTTGTGTTTTAATAAATAAAGCTTGCCTGAAGCTCAAAGAGTAAAACAGCTGCACTGATCAGCCTTTCAGACCAGGCAGTGGTGACACACACCTTTAATCCCAGAGCCACACTAGTTTGCCATAGAAACCAGGTGGTATTGGTGCACAACTTTAATCCTAGCCCTAGAGAGGAATATAAGACAGGAGGAGACAGCTCTTACACACAGTTTCTTTCTGAGATTCCTGGAGGCAGGATCGCCAATTCCAGCTGAGGTTGAGGTAAGAGTCAGTGGCTGGCTATTTTGCTTTTCTGATCTTCAGATTGAACCCCAGTTTCTGTCTCTGGGATTTTATTAATCATGCTATAGTCATCTTGTTCATCTTTCTTTGTTTTTTAACATGACTAATTTGTTCTTTCTACTTTCCAAGTTGTATTCTATTTTCAATTGATATGTAATATTTTTGTTTCTGGGGTGTATATGTATGCAGTGTATAATGATCAAAGCAAAGTAATGATCAAATTAAAATAGTTGACATTTTCATTTTCTTAAACATTTTCATTTCTCTATGTTAGGAATCTTCACTCC